ATGGACAAAAAATGTAAAAAATATTTTGTCTCAGGATTTTGATGCAGAATGGTGGAGAATCGATCCAGAAATCGTTTAAGGTACTCCGCTTGAGAATCTGATGACAATTGGGGAAGATATAGCCATCACTGTTGGCCCTATAGGGGAAAACCCTATTTTTCCCCCAAAAATAATTAATTAAAAAAAATAATTTTAAAAATAACAGCGCCCTCCTCCTCGATTCTCATCGGTTGCAGTTAAGGGGACCCCCCCCATTCTCGATTAGGCCTGAATAGTTGGAAAATTAATTGTTTATTATACCCTTGCAGAGGGTATTATAATTTTGTCCAAAAGTGTGCAACGCAGTGAAGGAGACATCTCCGACCCTATAAAGTATATATATTCTTGATCAGGATCACCTCCTGAGTTGATATGAGCATGTCCGTCTGTCCGTCTGTCCGTCTTTCTGTCCGTCTGTCTGTCTGTCTGTCCGTTTCTACGCGAACTAGTCTCTCAGTTTTGAAGCTATCGTCTTGAAACTTGGCACACACCCTTCTTTCCTTTGCACGCAGTATATAAGTCGGAACGGCCCGGATCGGCCGACTATATCCTATAGCTGCCATATAACTGAATGATCGGAAATGGTATAACTTTGGTGTTTTTAGAGTTACAGCGTTCAAATTTGACATGAGAGCTATTTTTGGCAAACCATTACGACATGCCAAATTTCATAAGGATCGGCCGATTATATCTTATAGCTGCCATATAACTGAACGATCGGAAGTGAACCATCTTTCGTGTTTTTGAAGATAAAAAGCTGAAACTTGGTACAGATTATATGTTTGGCCAGTTGATCCAACCTACCAAATTTCATTAGGATCGGCCGACTATATCCTATAGCTGCCATATAACTGAACGATCGGAAATGGTACTTGGTAGATATATCAACTTTCGTATTTTTGAAGATAGAAGTTTGGGACTTTTTTAGATTTTTTATTTTTAGTTAATTAGTTTTAATATGATGTAATCATAAGGATCGGCCAACTATATCCGATGTTTGCGATATATATCCGGTTTTAACTGCAAGGGTATATAAACTTCGGCTCCGCCCGAAGTTAGCTTTCCTTTCTTGTTTTTTTTTAATTTTATTTATTGTTCGCTTTTGTTGTAAGTTTTAGTTTTTATAATTTTTTTGTTGTTGTTATTTGTATACCATTACTAAATCCTCTGTAATGATATACAAATTACAACCCCAGCACGAAAAATGGACAAAACATATACAAAATATTTTGTCTCACGTTTTTAATGAATAATGGTGGAGAATCTATCAATCGTTTAAGGTACCTTGATTGAGAATCGGATCAGGATTGGGGAACATATAGCCATCACTGAGGGCCATATAGGGAACTATATCCTATAGCTGATATATAATAACATCCCTCCTATTTTTCCCGATAAGTGCTTCTTTTTGAGTACATGCTATTTAACCATTATTAAGTAGCTTGTTGAACTTTCAATCGATATGCAGTTGGCCTGTTCTTATATTCTAATTATGTGTTCAGCATGTCACCCCCAACTCATACAAAATTGCTTGCAGCTTGGGGTTGAGGTTAGAGTTTGGGGTTGGAGTTGGGTTTAGCGCGGGTGGGTCCCTATGTTGCGGTTGGGGTTGGGTAGCCGACTGAGTCAACACATCGGTCGAGGGTCTGCACCCCGCAGCGCCCAATTCCCCACGGACCACCACTTATGAAATTGAATGTAAACAAATGGAGCCAAGTGGGTTGGCAAACCCCACTCCCACCCCACTCCTGGGCACCCCGACTGACATATCGGCGCCAAGCAGGCAATTAACATGCAATTGTCATAAATCCAGCTTCGGCCAGTGCACAGATTATTAAACATTCATAAAATAAATTACCCAGCAAGTGCATAACTCCCCGATTGATTTTCACGCATTGTTCGGGACGGAGGGTCCTGCCGCCCCAAGAAATCCGGCCACTGAGCTACAACGATGGCGGGCGGAATGGAAAAACATAAACATAAATTCCTTCAAAGTCTCTGAGCGAAACAACAATGGCTTTGAAATCAATTCCAGGGAAGCGTTCATGGGTTAAGTCCGTGGGAGGGGGACGAGGCAAATAAATTTTGTGGATGCAGCGAAGGGGAACAGCCGCCCCAATCGGGGTGCAACTGTTTTATGGCTGTTGTGGCTTGTAAGGGTTGAAACAAAGACTTCTTACAACTCCAAAGGGGCGACTTGAAGGAAAGAAGGCCATAAACTTGAGCACTGGTCCTTACTAGTCGGGTAGTTATTGAAATGTCTGCATAAAATATTTAGTGACCAGAGAGGGTTCTTAACCGCAGATTGAAATAATAATTTTTATTGAAAAATAGTTTCTAAATTGGCGCAATAGTTTGAAGCTATGTGTGAAGGGACTGGGCTGAATCTTGTTTTTTGAATGAAAAGTATCTCTTAGGTAGTTCTCTTCAAGCCATTAAACCAGACTTCATCCAACAGGAACCCAAAATCCAAAGCAAAATGAAACAAAATTACGAGAAACCCACTGAATGTCAATGTCCTCCAACCCAGCCCCAAAAGGCGGCTCCTTCTAGCTCCACTCGTCCGAAAACAAAGGAGAATGGAATGTACACTCAGTATGCACAAAATATATATGCTTTTTATGACATTGCTGACAATTTATGATGCAAATTCCTCGCCCAAGCCATAGCCCCGACAAATTGTCGAGAAATTGCATAAAAATGTAAAAAGTGAAACGAAAAATAATAAAAATGAGAAGAGAAAACAAATTGTTATGCCGAAATCTGAAATCTGTAATCTGAAGCAGTTGCGGATGCACTCCAGAGATACTTTTGGAGAGAGAGGGATAGAAGATGGATTGCAAAAAGAGACAGCATCTGTTCGGGGACAAAGGGCAACCAGTGGGTGCACAAAACTGTTTTGTTTTTGTGGATCTGCGGGATGGCTTTTTATTTCTGTTGATTCATCAGAAAATAAATTGAAATATTCTTGTTGACAAAACCAATCTGGACTCGAACACCAGAACTCTGATGCTGCCTCTGCCCCTACCGCTCGTCGATGGATGATTTATTTAATTTACTAAAACTAACACAACGTGCTAAAATATTTGATAATAAAATCACGTTCACACGCTTGCGGCCACAGATCCATTGGCTGACATCCGCCCGAGCCCCAAACTTCATTATAAAATTATTTGTCTTTTGTTTTCTATTTGTTGGAAGGCTTTTTATTGTTTGGGGCCCGAATTCGTGGAAATCCTTTGCTTCTGGCCTTCGGGGTCATCCAAATGAATCAGTCCCGGATCAATCGAGTCCCAGTCCCAATTCTTTCATCTTGTGCGGTCGGGTCGCTATGTTTTTTCGGGTTAATATGCTGCCAGCAAGTCACCAAAAACAAGCGCAACAAAAAAAGTTTTTTTATAAAAACACACTATTGGCATAATATTTATTGACGATTTGAATAAATAGCCGGATTTCTGCCATGTCAGTCGTGAGTGGTGGCTAACCGCAGCAAAGACCCGCCAAATAATCAAAATAGCAATCAGAATTGTATAATTAATCCAGAATATGACTGACCTAGTGTGGCTGGGAGGATAGTGTTTTTAGGAATTCAAAGAATGTAGAATTAGAATGAAGACTTTGCTTTCCCACACTGCCACAACGGATACCTCTTAACTGATTTCCATGTCATGGCTGTGGCCAAAACGTGGCACAATCTGTTATGAATTTTTATAGAGTTGTCTGTATTTTGTGAAAAAAATTAATTTATCGCCTTCGTGATTGTTCAAATAAAAGGCCAAAATCGAATTCGGCGATCGAAAAAATGGATAGAATTCGACCTGGGCCCCGGTCTGGCCATCATCGTCGTCATCCCGACATGGACATCGGCTCCGACATCGACGTGAACATCAGAAAGTCAGGGGGCGGCGGCGGGGACACGTTGACTGAATTTAAATGAACAAATTAATTGCGTTTGTCAGGCCTGTGGACAGGTTCTGGCCAACGAAATATCAGCCAGCAGCAACAATACGTCTGCCCACACCACTGCAATCGGCGAGCGGACAAAGAATTAATTGGTTTTCGGACACTGGATGAAATATATTTAATTTAGGCTTAATGCCGGCCAGAGATTGCGTTTTAGTGTCGTCTCTCAAGTGTCATTTGGCAGTCCTGTCTCCTATCCGTGTGCGATCGCCAGGCCATTAAACAGTAGACCATTATTCGGAGTTAATCGCCATCAAGGATCACCGCAGTTAGTGATCGAGGATCCCCCATAAATTATCACTTGGTTTTGGGTCTGACACAGCTGCACTGTGGAAAATAAATGGCAGTTCGTTCAGGGCATGACTCACACTATTTCTTTTCAAACTCTATGGCTTTTTCCCAAGTGGACTTCTATGTCCTGCCTTTGGGATACCTTTTTGTTCGATCTGAGTTGACAGTTTTATTATGTTGCTTTTTTGAATTAATTGAGCCGCCCCTTGGCATGGGATTCAAATGAAGTCGTTGTCTTTCCGAGGAATGTCGTAGAAGATGTCTCGGACTCATCTCCGGGGAGTGGAGAACCCGAACCCTTAGGAGGCGACCACACAGTGTGATGCAGACTCACGCAGTTCTTTTGATGAAAACCCCAAACTATTTCTATATAAAGTATATACTGCCTGCGGGTGGCAGACGTTGCCAATTAATAATAATTGATTGGAGATATTAACCAAAATTATGATGATTACCCCTCTTGGCTGGAAGCCCGCAGATACCTCGTAGATAATGGCACATAATTTGGTTGAAAGGCATGACAGATGACCTCATCGAAAGGGGCTTTAAGCTGCCAGTGCAGGGGGAAAATATTTTAATTGGCTCATCACAGCTTTAATGAAAGTAAATATTGCTCTACCTGGTCACTCTGTCAGATTTAAATTATTAAAAATACTCCCCCCCCCGTTCCAAATCAGGTCAGCCTTAATTTTACTTTCATTAATTGTCCAAAAATCACTTAGACAACAGAAGCACCCACCTGCTTCCCTTCTTAAAACTGATTTTCGAGAAATATTAAAAAAATGGGTCGTCGACGAGGCTATGACCATTCACAAGACCAGGACTCAAGTGGCCGTTCCAGAGCCAGGCCCACTCGCTCCGACTCGATCTATATAGATGGGGCACGCAAGGGCCGCCGGTTTGGCAGAGCCAACTCCTCCTGGGACGTCCCACCCGAGGGCTATTCCCACCTGACCCCCCTGCAGTACAAGTCCATGCAGGCCAGCGGCCAGATAGCCTCACGCATCCTGCCGGACCAGCAGCCCACGGCGGAGTCGGCCGCTATTGCGATGGTCACCCGCCAGGCGCGGCGGCTCTATGTGGGCAACATCCCCTTCGGCGTCACGGAAGAGGAGATGATGGACTTCTTCAACCAGCAGCTGGCAGCACTGGACAGCAGCTCCCTCAAGACGGACGGCAAGGCGGTGCTCACCTGCCAGACCAACCTGGAGAAGAACTTTGCGTTCCTGGAGTTCCGGTCCATGGATGAGGCCACCCAGGCCGTCAACTTCGACGGAGTCTCCTTCCGGGGCCAGACCCTGAAAATCCGGAGACCCCACGACTACCACCCAGTGTCCAGCATCAGCAGCTCCGAGATGGCCTTCGCCACCACCACGATAGCCTCGCCCTCGATCATGGTAAGCTCGACGAACCACGTGATCGCCACCCTAGTGCCGGACTCGCCAAACAAGATCTACATCGGGGGGCTGCCGACGTGCCTCCTCGAGGAGCAGATCAAGGAGCTGCTGCTTTCCTTCGGGCAGCTGAAGGGCTTCAACCTGGTCAAGGACTCCAACACTAGTCTGAGCAAAGGCTTCGCCTTCTTTGAGTACGTGGACCCCGAGGTGTCTGATCAGGCCATCGCCGGGCTCAACGGCATGCAGCTGGGAGATCGAAAGCTGGTGGTCCAGCGCTCCATCGCCGGCGGCAGGAACTCGATGGGCGTAACATCTGCGGTCCTGCAGGTGCCCGGGCTAACCGCCATCCCCAGCGCGTACTCGGCCACCGAGGTGCTGTGCCTGATGAACATGGTTCTGCCCGAGGAGCTGCTGGATGACGAGGAGTACGAAGACATCCGCATGGACATCCTGCTGGAGTGCGCCAAGTACGGGGACGTGCGCAGCCTCAAGATCCCCCGGCCCATTCCCAAAGAAGACACTCCAAAATCGGGCTGTGGCAAGGTGTATGTGCAGTTCGAGTCCGTGGACGACTGTCAGAAGGCCATGCGGGCCCTGAGCGGGCGCAAGTTTAGTGGTCGCATTGTGATGACCTCCTTCTTTGACCCCGAGAAGTACCTGGCTGACGATTTCAAATAATAAATGGAGGAATTTTATAGCAATATCTTTCTCAAGTTAGTTTCAACAATTAACTTATAAGTATCTTTAGCTCGTTCATAAGTATCTGTATCTGTATTCAGTGTATCCGTATCTCATTCTTGTCAACCGTTGAACTGCTGTGCTTAAGGCCAAGCCAGCGATAACGAACTTAATCCCTTTTGGAGCCAAGAACCGGCAGTGAGTTCATTGTTTCTGCTGTTTTCGCTTGTTGTGATTTCATCTGCTGCTTAGCGCAGGAATCGCTTTAAGTTATCTGGCCCCGCGATGCCAGGACACGCCCAGAAAGGCTGTCCCCGAATTCAATTAGGCTGGAAGACTTAAGCTGCAATCCTTAAAGCTGCTCCGAAGCTGACACCACCTCCTCCGACAGCTCCACCTCCTGGTCTTAGTCAGCTGGGCTTGGGCTTAATTAAAATTTTAAACTTTACGCTTTATCGCCGGCATTTCTTGGGAATATTCACACCTACCTTCAGCTTATTATGGGGAGCCTCAATGGAGGGCTTCTTATCTCGCCGCACGGTTGCATTTTCTCAGGTTTCACGTTTCGGGGGTTTTGGAGGCACTCGCTTTGGGGTTTTCTTATCTGGAGCTGGTCATTTGGGCGACGGCCGATCATCAATACTCGAACGCGTAATGAAATCGTTGCAGAGAGAGAAAATGGATTGTCTTTCCATTGGGGCTTAGAACTCTGAGCTCAGAAGTGATCAAAGAACTACTTCCAGTGCATGTTGTCTTAAAAGCCTCGAAAGCTGAACGATTTATCAGCGGCAACGACGTCCGCGAACTAAACGCTTTATCGGAGTGGTCGAGATTGCCCAGAGAAGAGGAGATGCTGAGTGGACGAGGCTGTGGACACAAATTAATTCAACGCCTTGGATGTTTGTCATTCACCAGAGGAGTGGCCAGTCGAAGGTAGGCCCTTTCATTCCCTCCACTTCCCCCAAAAAAGAGACTTCTTTCGATGCCGCCTCCAGCCTAGGTCGTCCCAGGGAAATCAATGCTTCGATGGGTAATTAATAAACGCCCATAAAGATGCGGATACAATAAAAATTCCAGGCATTGAGATTGGGCTCAAAAGGGTTCTTTGATTTTGTAGTTTCTCCCCTTCCTTGTTGGTTTTTATGGCCTGGCAGCTGCGCTTTGGGGATTAACTGGATTGACTTCTAATCTCCCCAGCTCCCGGCTCCGGCTCTGGCTGATGCTCCCCCGACTGTGTCCGAGGTTAGGGACTGGCTGGGTTAGGTAATCGAAATTAAGCAATCAAAGCCACAGTTGAGTGAACTCTGTCCCGGGGCTTCCATGCATTTTAATTGCATTCTCATCATTTCATTTGAATATGATGTAGTAGATAATTGTGGGGCTCCTGCCAGAGGAACGCCTCTCTCCGAGGAGTTCATTATTACAATAGGTAGCCCGAAAAGTATCAGAAGCGTGTTCCCCTTATCGGCTCCATCGTATCCCACTTAATTAGCTGGACTGTGGTTGTTGTAGGTGTCCACTAATGATGCTTTAGAGGCTGGAGCTGCGCATAAACTTGCCAAAGATGCCCGATAAGGCGACATCTCCATAAAAATTTGTTCTTCTAATGATCTGATAGTGATACGAGTTCAATTTGTTGGGAGTTAATCAAGATGTATGGAGATTTCAGACTCAAAGGTTAACCTAATGAGCCGGAATGCAAAATCCCCAAAGGTCACTGCCTAATCCATCTGATATCCGAGAAGAACTCGACCAATTAAGCAGCAAAACTTTCCCGGCAACCCTTTGGAGCCGAAGCTCGAATTCAATTACCAAAACCTGTTGCTTTGTTTGGCCTACCCCGCGGTTTAATTCACATTTCCGGTTGCCGGAGAAAAATAAATAAATGGAAGAATAAAGCGCGCACCAAACATGCAGAATAAAATCAAATAAACAAATATTGCTGTGCAGTTGCGCCGAATTCGTAATTTCCCTTCATAGTCCCGACAACAAAGGCTAAAAACAAATTACCAGCGCGAATAATTTCCCCGAAATTTCGACTTGGGTTGCGGGGTTTACGGGTTAGCGGATTGCGCGCGGCCTCACCCACTCCGGCTGTCACTGCCGTTCCAGCGTTCCACGTCGGTTCGTTAATGGCAGCGCAATTAATTCGAGCAAATCGTCTGTGAACCCTTTTTATGACCTCTAAGAGCTTCGCTTCACACTCATCCCCCCTCTCTCTCTCTCTCGACGCCTATGTCTGTCTCTTTTCCAGATAAAAATTCATTAAACGACATCATTGAAGGGCTTTGTTTCGCTTTGAACTGTTTGCCCGCCAACAACAAATGCGGAATAGGACGGGCAGAGCTCGAGGAGGCCCTTCTTAAATGTTTAAAGAGGTTTTTTGTCCACCCTTTCAGGGGGCGACATAAAAGTTGTGCCAAGTTTTTCATTTGTTTAGTTTAAGGATCATAAAAAATGGGAAAATATATAGCCATCTTAAGTTGTTACACGTATATGAATATAAACTTTTCTACAATTGGAATCTATAAGAATTGTTGAGGATTCGCTTTAGGGAGTTGAAACATTGTTGAAAACATTACGATTTTTCAAGGGGCTGGCTCATAAAAATTGAGAAAGATGCAGGTTTGGATAAAGATACATAGGAAATCTCCCCACAAATCAAGGTAGCTTCCTTGAAAATCGGATGACAGTTGGCCAAGATATGCATATTCACGTGTCTCATATATGGGAATCCTGGGTCTGGAAAGAAGTTTCCCCCCAAAAATAGGGAAAATGCAAATGATGCAAATTGACGAAGAATTGTTCTAGAAGTTGATAAAGGTATTCCTTACTAAGATAGTAGGTAAATTGGCCAAGATATGGGCATTCCAAGGTCCTTTACATGAAAATTCTGGTTTCAGAAGGGATTCCCCTACAAAATTTTGAAAAATATCTATCCAAAAAATCGTGTCGAGGTTTTGATGCAGATGATGAGGAATGGTTTTAGAAATCTTTTGAGGTATTCTGTTTTAGGATCGGATATAATTTGGCAAAAATACATATGCATGGATGTGGGTCATAACTCAAAAATTCGGGAATACTAGTTCTCGTAATCATAACAATAAAATAAACCATTAGAAGCCCTTAACTCTTTAGAGAACCTTGTTGAACCACAATACAGTTGATCTATTAGGCGGCTTAAGCGCCATTTGTCTCTGTAAACTCTTCCACAATTCAAACCAAATCCGGGACCAAAATGCGAGTTCGAAGAACCCATTAGAGGACACCCTACTGTGACAAAGGAAAACCAAAAGAAAAGCGGGGTATACTCGAGTAGATTTTTTTTTCAGCCGTAAAGATGGGAGAGAATCTTGCTCGAAACCATCCATATGAAGAAATTTAATTCCTGTTTTAGATGGACCTTGAAAAGGTAAACAAATAGGGGTCTGACCCATACCAAAAAAGTCTATAAAATAATAAAAACTCCCACGTACTTGCCTGATATTAACCCATCTCTAACACGGCGGGACCAGCGCGAAATAACCTGCGAGTCGAGCAGGCTTAATGAGGGTCGTAAAATCAAGCGCCGGGCTAGGCCTCCAGACGGAGACAGAAAGTCCGTCCCTCGGACACGGATGACCTAAAACTAAACCGGCCTGAGAGGGTGTAACAGGTGCCACAGCACTGTGTCTGGCAATGAAATCATAATGCCGATTATGTTCAAGAATGGTGTGTAATGTAGGTAGCTACAAAAAAGGACACTCAGGTCCATTCAGGAAGGATTTTCGGACAATTCAGTTACTATTTTGGGAACTAGCACTCTTTGATGTTCAGCCGCCAAGATTGTTTGATTTGAAATTCCGAAGGGCGACAGTCTGGGATGCGCCATGCAAATGGGTGTCAACTCTGACCTCAAGCGAGGGATAAGACGCATAATCCCGGAGAACTGAACAATAAGAACCAGAGGCGAGGCTGCTCAACAATGGAAAGCACAACTTGAGCTGCTCCAACTGCTCGACTTTCGACTGCTCGCCATAATCCAAACTAAATGTCCAACTTAATTTTGTTTTCAACTGTCCTGGCCCGGGTCTATAGGGCACTGAGAGAATTGTTTCTCCAAAGAGGGAGTGTTATCTTATGGTGGGGAGTGCAGTTCATGTTTTTTTTTTTTTTAAAGATAAAACTTACTTTCCCACTTTAAGTCTTCCTCCAAGAGTCCTAATAGTATTGCAGTCTATCTAGTATGTCTATGATTTATTCCTCAGTTCCTTTTGGTGACGGGCAACTTTGCTATCAAGACTGGCGTTCCAGTGCAGTATGCCTACCTATAGACCTGTCACTGGACTGCCTGCCTGAGGCTCTCGGTTCACTGACCTTTGGCCGGGCCTCTATTCAGAGCCCATTAACTATCTCGTATTTATTTGTTTATTTCCTCTTTTTTTGCTGTGTAACTCCGGGTCCTGCCCGCCGATGAATGCTAGCTTGAAGCATTTGTCCTGCCCTGGAAGCTGCCTTCTCCTCCGCCCTGTGCCCTCCGCCTGTCAGCGCACACAATTCAACTTCAACTTTTGATACTCATCTGAATTTGCATTATTTTCCCTGCTGCTGTTTACGCTGATTCTGATTTTAATCTTCCAGCAGCGTGGCTCTGCTTTTCTCTTTATTTAGTTGGGAGTGTTCTTCCTTCGACTGGTCGTTGGTACCTGCCTGCCTCCGTCCAGGTGAACAGGTTCCATTTCTTTTGTGAGTCGCGTTCTGCACTTTCAACGCACTCCCCACTCCTCTCCCTGCAAACGTCATTCATTTAATTCGAGTAAAAAATGCGCGGATGCTGCGTCAGGAGGAAAAAAGTATCCTAATTGGTATTAAAATTGGTGTTTTTTTTTTTGGGTTTTTAGTTTGCCTTGCTGGCCCATTGTATTCGGGGCATTTGTCTTTGGTCTTCGCTTTCATTCAAATCGCATTTAATGGGAAAACAAAAGGGGAATCAGAGTCAAGGGTCGTAACCGGAGAATACTGGAGCCACTTTGGCCAAAACGCATTTTTCAGATTGCATCGCTGACCAATAGTCGGAGATTAAATCGAAGAGCAAGCGTTCTGTTTCTCCTCCATTCGAATATAACCTTTGCCTCTTAATCATTTATTTTTAAAAAAATTGTATCTTTTGTTTGGCGCTTCCAGTTAAAGCCGATGGCATTGGGGACTTAAAAACGGATTAAGTTTAAATATCGCCACTTACACGTAATTAAGTTTGCCGCGTTTTTCCATTCACATAAATATAATGCACTGTCCAGGCACGCAAAAATAATTAAGCCGTCAATAAAATTGTATTAAAATTTAAATAGGTCTGTGGGAAGTGAATATTATTAAAGGTTTCAAAGTGGGCTTTAATAGAATAATGTGGTTGTTAAGGTGGTCAGGTTCAAGTTCTTACAGAACTCCGAAGAACAGAGTTCCCCTTTGTGGATCGTATTACTCCGAAAGTCTCTCATGCCTTTTTATAAAAGAGCTGTTAAATGGCTGACACATGTATTAGGTTTAAAAGTAATAAGAATATTTAAGTAATTTTTGAATGAACATGTAATATGGGGAATGGTAATGGGCTTACCAGTGGGAAGGTAAGAACTCTTACTTTACTCTCTTATTTTGTCTTATTTCTTATTTATTCTATTTAGGGACTTACATTTTAATAACACCACCGATTGTTCTGAATGTCTTGTAATTTTAATATTATGAGCAACCATTAAGAATTCTATTATTTATTAGTACAATAGCCCTACCAATATCCCACTTTCTAGCCAACAAACATGATATTACCAATAACAGAGGTTCCACTCCATAACATAGCTCTCTCTTTCATTCGCTCTCTGACATTTCCGAGGCGACGCATGCGCGGGCCCTTCTGTGAGCCGAACAGTATCCATGAGATACGCAGTGTATCCGAGAGATGCAAACATAGCATAACATGCGTTCCACACCCGATGCAGTCGCGCTGCCGATTCCCAGTCGAGTTCGGGTATCCGTGAGATACAACTCAGTGTATCCGAGAGATTCAAGCGTAGCGGTACTCGAAGCAGTCGGGCGGGTGTAGCGTTCATTCAGAAAGTCCAACGTCGCGTTTGTGGCCCGCGTGCGTCTTCGATTCGGAAAGATCCAATCTGAAGCCAGAGATCTACATAGAAACCCCATAAGTGATACAAAATTGGAAGAATTCAAAATTAAAAATCGCAAAAATAAGCGCAAGATCTTTGTGGTTCGTCGCGAGTTCCTTGGCACTTCGTGAGAGAAACACAAGGCCTTCAAAGCCAGAAGCTAATTGTTTGAAGCTCCCATGACAGCGAAAAGGTGAAAGAATTGAAAGATTCAGCTGCAGTGCTCAGTGTGATTGCCATTCGCGTGGCCTAGTGTCTGAAAGTGTGTAAACCAGAGGCTAAGGCCCCTCAGGAGGATTCCAAGCGGATTACAGAAAAGGATTAAATAACAAAGTAATTTGCATATCTAGAAAATAAATTAAAATCATGACAACGACTAGGCAGTAATTTATGCACGAATGTTCAGCAGGATCCCTCCGCTCCCCAAGGACCAGCGCCAGCGGATGTCCGCTCATGTCCATGTTGCGAGTCAATGAAATTTTTAATTGTGCACGCGTGTCCAGGGGGCTGACCCCAGCACCCTCCCTCATGGCCCCCCTTTGGTTACACCTGTCCTGGGGCAGGGGGTTTCTGCGGCTTTTCCAGCCTGGCGTGCCCGCTGGCTCCGCCCCCCTCGATGTTATGTTCATGTTTCCCGCATATTTGTCATGGGGATCGCTTGGATGGACGCCTGACAGGGCAAGCTCAATCCCGAAGGCAGTGGGTACTTGCCCCCGGGAGCCCTGGCGCGGAAAATGCAACTCTGAGGGATCGGGACTAGTACTACTTTTCTGTTTAATAAGCCCAACTTTGATAAAGGAAAATCCCTTTAAAACAAGTTCATTATAAATCTGGAAAGTGAAAGCTTAAGGACCTTAAATTTCATTCTATTATCCTCTATTGAAATCCTTTGGTGGATTAACTTGCAGGATCTGATTTTTCCGCCCTTCTGCTTCACTAACTTTATTAACCCGCAAGTGGAGTTTTCAGCTGGTTCCGCCCTTGAGCTTGTGCCCAAATCCTCACTTGTTTTCAATTATCATGTCATCTCGCCACCCCCGTTTGTGGCACTTTCATCCCCCGCCCAGGACCTACTCAGTGCTTGCCACAAGCCGTTGCACTTGAACTCCATGCTGGTAATTCGGAAAATCCCCCTTTTGTCGGACGGAGCAGAATTTACTATCGCCACCAATGCCAATTGTCCACGCTCCCTGACTTCCTTCCTGCCCCAGCTCCTGTCTCTCTCCCCTGCTCCTTTTGGCCACTTCCTCAGTCCCCCCTGTCGTTATGTTTTTTGCGGTCAGTTGAGGCCGCGTGCCAAGTTTCCATTGTGTGAGTGTTTTCCGTGTTTTCATTTTTTGTACCCATTAGTGGAAGACCTCAAGGGTATTTTGGAGTACAAAATAAAAAAGGAAATTAGGTACAAATATTTTAAACTAATAAATTGGTATTAGAAGAGCACTTTTAGAGAGGAATTTTGTATAATTATCTTTCAAAAAAAGAGGTTCTAGTAAGATTAGTAACGGGTATCTCACAGTCCTAACTAGAGTGTCATATAGTGTGTGTTTTGAAAGGACATGGAGCTCCTCATGCGTGCCTCCTGTGGTCCTCCTGTGTGTGCGAGGCAAAGAGCAGCAGCAAAAAGTAGGAGCAAGTGGGGGTCAGGGAGCAAAGGCCGCCACTGAGCTGACCTCGCGTCGCCTGCAGCGTTAATTTATAATTTACTCTCGACTCACTGAAATCGCCTAGCCACCCCCCAGCCCCTCCACCTTTGAAAGCTCCCACTTTTATTATTATTATTATTTCTGTGCGTTTCCACGCGCTTTTCCTTGCCCAAGTCCTGGCCAGGCCGCAGCAAAAAAAAGGTCCTTCCATCTGCAACTTTTTGCCACTTTTGACTTTTTTACATTTGCCGACGGGCCCAGCCCCACCCACTCCCACCTCCCGCCCCCTCTTTGTTGTGTTTTCCTTGTCGGGTTATTGTTGTTGTTGCGGTGTCCCTTCATTTACTCGCAAACACAGGACGAGGACAGACAGGACGAAGCATGGGGCATGGCGCAAGGGGCATGGGGCATGGAATTTCCACCAAAAACCTGCTCGCATTTTGGCCTTTTCCACTACTTGCTGCTGGCTCCTGTTTTTAGTGCCTTAATTTATTTGTCAGTGTATTGTTTTTGCTTCTGCGGTTTCTTTTTTTTTTTTTTGGGGCATGCTCCTTCATTTTTTGTTCGCTTTACATTTTTGACTTTTGACCCCGCGACTGTTGCTCCTTCTCTTCTTCGCATTTGCCTTCTTCTTGCTAGCTTGTTTGTTGTTTTAATTAATTTGTAAATTTACTCGCCCAGATTAAGGCAGAAGAGAGCCAAATTAGCCCGAGACCTCGCCGACAATGCAGATGGACGACAGATGTCAACTGGGGCTGAGGGTGGAGTCCTCTCGAGGGTGGTGTGAGGTCGGGAAAATAAAAATAAAGTGAGACATGGGCATTAAAAAACAAACAAAACAAGTTTCTTGTGGAAAGTTGGCCAGAGATTTGAGATTTCAGGAATGTTGAAAGTGGATTAGCAAAAAAGCTAAATGGATGGTGCTTGTTCAGTCATTTAAGTTGTTAGATAATTAATACTGCAATAGTATAGACTATTAAGATGGTAAAGTGAATCACATACCAGAAGCAAAAGGCGGAGTCACCTCCCAAAAGCCTCCTAGGCAAGAATCTCGGGTTTCTTAAGCAAACACTGTCTGGTATTGTTGTTTACCTATATGGCTGTGTTTTATCAAATGTCCCTGTCATTCTCGGCTTACATGCCGGTGAACCGAGTCTGTGCCTTCAGGAAACCCCCAGGCAGTCAGTCGTGCAGTCTTCAAGTCGGCCAATAAAATAATTCAATTTCCTGCACCGAGCAAGTGAGACAACAATTTAATTGTCCAACAAAGGCTGGCGGAATTAAAAACAGTACAAATGAGTACGCAAAATGTTGTGCAGCTGTTTTTTGGCCAGAATGTTACTTGAAGCATTAACTTGGTCTTAACCGCAATGGCGAAACTTTGTCTTAGGAGTTTGTGTTCCTTTGGCCGAAAGAGAAAGAGAGTCTATTGACAGAAATCCGAGGGCTGAGAGCCTCAGATGCCAAGGCAAATGAAGTCGGCCAATAAAATGGCTTGCGGTGTCTGGGCCAGAAACGAATTCCGAATTAAACAAACAAAAAACTCCCAAATGTGCAATTAAAAAATTTTACAGTCATAACTTTTTATTACGGAGCATAATTCAGGACCGGAGAGGGGCGGCATGGCAGGGTCCTTCGTGGAGAAGGACTTCACTGCGCGTGTTTAATTTCGTTTTCGTCCTGTTTTTCCAATAAATTTTCTTCCTTTTTGCACGCAATTTCCCCACTTGAACTTTTTCCCACTGCCTGCTCGTACTCCCCAAAGTTTCCCTCATATTTTTGGATGGCGGGTGTACGAGTGAGTAGCCACCAAATAGGTCCTACTTTTATGTGTCTGTTTCGTCAGTTTTCAGTTTGTTTACTCGCTGGTTTCACTTTCCGACTTTAGATCCCTATCGCTGCCCGGGCGGTCTCGTTTCATATTTTTTTATTGCAACTAAATGTCGACACGTGGATGGTTTAGCATAAACCTGCACACAGTTTTTATTAGATGCATTTTAATTGGAGCCTCGCCTGGGGGGTCTGCTGTGGCCATGTCGGGCGGCCGAGATTCTATCGTGGGATACAGGAATTGGAGCAATGGGCGGTAAATGGTTCAAGAATCTTAAATTACCATCTAGCTTCTGTCCATGACGTGATGTTTTAATCAGTTAGTTCGGCTAGAACATACAGTTTCGAAGGAAGTCACCCTAGTAACCCTATTCCTCCATTTAACACATGTGAAAGGCACTAACCCGCGCCCATTTAGCTGTCCTACAGCCAATAATTGTCGCTCCGACTAAATAATGCATAAATAATGCAGAGCCGGGCGGCAGGGATAACAAACTGAAACACAGGATCGGGCAGGGCGGACGGGGATATTAACCCGCTCCAGGGCCGTTAGTGGATTTGTCGACCAACAAAGTGAGAAAACCGCAACGGAGCGGCATAAAAAATGCATAAAACGAGGACAGAATAAAGTCATAAAGTAAAAATTGCAGACAGGGGAAAGGAGCGTCCCGAGACCCGGGGAATAAAGGAGTGTATGTGTTCTGGGTTGGTTGGGCTGGGATGAAAGGGGAAAAAAAAGGGAAACGCTGTTGTGGAGCTCGGGTCTTGTTTGAGGTTTCAATAGGTCATAATTCACGCCTAGTCGCCGCCGCTCGTCCTCCCTTTCAATTTCCCCCTCGTGCAGCCTGGCCTGTCGTTAACCGTCTTGGTTGGGAAAAAAAAGGAATATAGGAAGGCAGGCGTGGGTGTTCCATTGGCGCCACAACGTATTTATATAAGAAATAGACAAGCTACAATGTCAGAGGGGAGAACAGGTCGGGTGATTGTCCATAATATCTATAAAGGGTAAGAACAGTGGTACAACGGGGTGGTGTTAAAAAGATCATATTTTATATTCTGAATGGAACCAGAACCCTGAAAAGTACTACCCTTTCTTAACTTTTAAAGCTAAATAAAGGATGGAAAGTGAAAGTGTTATAAGATATGATATAAGAAAGAGAATGGCAGAAGTATCTTTACCCAAATATATCAAGTCACTAAATAGAACCTTAATTTCGTAATTCTAACTTTAAAACCTTATTTAATATGTAAAAAGTAGTATCTAGATGTAGATAGCATTATCTATTCAGCACTACTATTTACTACTCCTAGTAGGTAGTAGGAAGAATGGTATCCGCACTTTCTCGCTTCCCATCCAGTTGCCCCACTCTTGGCACTTGTGCAGTGTGCAAATTTGTTTTGGTCGCTGGTGTCGTGTTTGTTTTTACATTAGTTGTGGTCTGTCTCCGGCTGGCCACTTGGCGGCAAGGAGGTGGAGCTGACAAGGACCAGGGGCTGGCTGGAAGGTGGCAGGGCGGTGTCTGATGCCTGGCTTTGTCTTCTTTATGGCTGCTAACGATGAAAAATGTTTGCGTGGTGCGTGTTTCAGCGCCCGCTGGGCTGTGCCGGTGGTGCCCTTTCCTTCTTCCGCCTTTCAGCGTTTTTAGTTGCCCCGCAGGACCCAAGACCCTCTTTGCATGCGTGGTCTTTTGTGCATATGTCAGAGTCGCACTTAGGAGTCACAAAAACACCACAAAATATTATAACAGAAGCAGAGCAGTAGAGACGCATTAAATACCCTTTAAAGTTAAACAATTTTTTTAAAGAAAGTTACTGAGTATTTATAGTACCTTCCCAGCTTACTTTCAAGTCCTTCATGTT